CAGGCGCCGTGTGGCGTCGCGACGCTTGACAGATCCGCCAGCTGCGCCGTGCGTTGCGCGTCGCGCCGCCCCGCGCGCTGCTGCTGCTGCGCTCTAGAGCACCGCGCGCGCGCGCTCTACCAATCAAAGCGCTCGCTCAGCAATTGTTTGTTTGGGGCGTAGAGGAAGAAGGAGGGAAGGGAAGGGTTGGACGAGCTGCTGCTTCTGACCGCCTCGCCGCTCGGTGGTGTGGCCGCAACAAGATAAACGGATGGCGGCCCCCGGGGCGTGGCGCTGCGCGGCGGAGCGTGGTGGGGCGTGGCGTGGCGCGGCGTGGCGGAGCATGGTGGGGCGTGGTGGGGCGTGGCGGGGCGTGGCGCTCCGCGGCGGCGGCGGGCGTAATGCGATGAAGCGAGGAAAAGCTATCGATCCTCCTCCCGCGACCATTCTAATTTCCGCAATGGGCAGCAGCCGGCTGGGCTGGACTGCCGGGGCCCGGCCGGAGCGCTACTGCTGCCGGGGCCCCACTGCCGGACGCATTCTCCGACTTCCGGTCCCGATCTCGGCCACTGTCCCCAGCATGTCAGTGTTTTGTTCACCTTTTTTCCAGATAAAACACCTAAACATTGGGGAATAGCAGGTAGCTGATTAACCCCACCGCTGTAACAAATATGTTCGTACGTGTACGATATATTTTGAAATTTACTATTTACAAAACGTGTCGTACATGTACAGCCTCGTACTCTAGATCGTCATTTCATTCCAAGCCAAATCGAGCTTGTATGTTTACAATTTTAAATTGTGTTTTTACGACATCTTCCATGGAAAATTTTTCTGCACCCGGTCCCGCAATTTTTCACAGTGGCGCAATTCTGTAGTTATGCCAGGTTTAGTTATGCTGTACCGCACGAAGGGCGTGCGGGCGGGCTTGCCTAGCTTCCCTGCCCACGGCACCTTCTGGGCCGAGCGAGTAAAGTCATTTGGGGAGCTCTCCGGTGACCGTCCTGCCAGCACGCCACTGGTCGCACCTCACACCGTGCACAGCGCGCCGCTTATAAAGTTTACGGACGAGCAGAGCAGCAATCTGTAAAAGAAGCGGATTTACGGCGGCCGGTCGTAAAAGACAAGTTTCTTTCATCTTTACGATCTCCAAACACCCAGCGCTGCCGCCATTCCCTCGCTGCCGCGTAAATTATTTTCTGTTTTTCATAATTCTTTTATAAAATTATTTTGTTCACATTTTTTTTCTCTACTGCAGAGGTGTGGAGTCCTCGCGGCGTACCGCGGCGAACTGATTACTCAGCGATTGCTCTCCAAATGTGAAAGGGCGAAGGGGCCTATCTCTCGCGCGGTGCGGAGTGCGGACCGGAGCGTGGCGGCTCGCCAGCGGGCCCGGCAGCCCGTGGGCGCCTGTAATCCTGCATATCCCCGTGTTTTTGTTATGCCTCCCGGACGCGCAACCGGGTCCTCTAATCCCCCCCGCCCCCCGGCCCCGGAGCCCCAGAGCCCGGCAGCAAGCGGCAGCGGACCCGTCTGGAGCTCCGTCATTCATCACGCGCTGGCCCCGGCCCCGACCCCCGCTGGAGTCCGTGGGGACCAGCCGGGACCAGCCGGGACCAGCCTGGACCAGCCGGGACCAGCCGGGACCGCGCGGGGATACGGCAAGGGCGCCGGGCTGGACAACACAGGCGCCGGGGAATACCACGCGGGCAGATGAGAAAGGTTTGCCCAGCGGCGATAGACTTGTTTGACGGGACGGCATCACGGGGACGCCAGGCGCTAGGTAGGCTACTTGCCGTTCTCCGCTGTTTTACGGGACGGCATCACGGGGACGCCTGGCGCTAGGTAGGCTACTTGCCGTTCTCCGCTGTTTGACGGGGCGGCATCACTGTCATCGTGGGGACTCTAGGCGCTAGGTAGGCCACCCGCCGTGCTCCGCTGTTTGACGGGACGGCATCATGGGGACGCCAGGCGCTGGGTAGGCCACCCGCCGTGCTCCGCTGTTTGACGGGACGGCGGCATCACGGGCGGCAGTAACTTACTGACGTGAGGAAGGCAACCTCCTCGTGAGCAGCACGTCGCGACTGGGCTGGGCACACACCTGGCGGCACCAAAGTGAGCCGTGAGTTTGGTGGAGGGACGCAATAAAAACGGCTAAGCAAACTG